CGAACGAACTTCAACCTGGAGGTAAGTTAGCGTAGCGAACGAACTAACCTCAAGGCAAGTGAGCGCAGCGAACGAGCTCCAACCTAAAAGTGAGTGAGCGTAGCGAACGAGGTCCAACCTTAAGGTGAGTGAGCATAGTGAACGAACTTCAACCAGGACGGGATTGAGCCATGCGAACGAGTTCATCTTGAAAATGAACGAGCATTTGACATAAAACCACATTAGGACAGGACGACGTCTGTCGGGCCAGCTAGTAATATATAATATTTAATATTTCAACGAAGCCTGCGGATGTACCATTGTAAACTGTAAACATAATCGGTCATATTTAACATGTTAAATATTAATCTATAAATGTCTGATTCAATAATGTTTTTTTTTCAATTGCAACATTAGCTACATCCTACTTCAGTACCCAAAAGTAAATGGTTTTACCTTACTAATGTTGGTCAATTTGAAAGTTTATAGTCCTTAACTAGTTTGTAGAATCGAAAAACGTTCCCGAAATAAGTCAACAGTTACAAGTACGACAGTTATTTATCGTAATTATTGGTAAACCAAACTCAGTATTACTGTGCAATTGCCACTTCAGCAGGAAGGCTAGAATGCATTAAGTAAGTACTAAAGTGCTACGTTTCTGTTGGCTTGTGGATTGTACAAGAATATCTTTACGGTCCATTCATCAACGCCTGCAACATTAACAGAGAGCTGAACAATGAGGTCTAGAATATTACCTCTAAATTCTTAGGAGGGGTTATGTACCTGCGGGCGTTATTAATAGACTTAGACAACAGCATTGTTAGGCAAACTTACGAACATCTAGATGTTCCCTTTAGTCTTAATAATATTATATTTTGTTAGGTGAAAATACACACATAAGGAATATTTTTTTATCTTTAACGTTGGAGAAATTTCGGATTACACGGGCTTGTAAATCTTTGGATCCTACGGCAATTTGTTCACAAACTACTTGTAAGAAAATTTTTTTTTATAAAATTTTTGTTAAGTAAAGGTCTATGGCGTGTGATAAACTTAAAAATTAAGTAATAATTAGTAATTGAAGTACAACAAGACTAAAATATAATATTAAGTATTAATTATTCAATATATGGTCAATGTTTCACCTTATTCCTATATTATGACCTAAAGAACACCAACCTAAGTAAATAGTTTTAAAATATATATTTTTTTTGTAGCCATATTTTTACGGTGAAATATAAATAAATTGCCTAAAATAAAATATTTTTTTCCAGTTAACGTACAAATTTTATAAAATAACTTTATTTCGGAGAAAGTTATGGTTTTAGTTTTGTTTATTGGTGTAATCATTGCACCTATTTAATTTCACGTGTTATTAAATTTAACCCAGGAAATAAGAGGATACAAAATAAAATAATACTTCCTTGTATTTATACAATATATGACATATTGTAGAACTTCGGTTTGGTAATCTTTACATGCTATATAGTTTACAACATGTTCTTATCTTTGTAGGCCTTAACAAGTAGGGATACAAGATTCTTTTACAAAAATATTTACTATACAGGGCGAGTTTCTACTGACCGTGTCAACTTCGCCAGTAGGTTCTACTCACTAAAAGGAACAAAAAAGTTCCTTTAAACCCATGTCCGATTTTCAACCGTTTGACTGTAATAGGGGATTTTGTGTTTTTCTTATTTTATTAGACTTTGCTCCACAATTTATGTAATAAAAACTTAACTAATTACTTTATAGAGTTATAGTTGAAATCATTGGAAAGAATATTAAATTTGATATAAATCAAAGGTTTAGTTCAACAATTATACCTTTACATAGTCCACGTTATATCCAAAATAAAGTAAAAATTGCATTAAATTAATTAATTACGATAATTTTCATGAGCACACTTTGATACATAAACGTGCATCTATGCAACGTTGAAATGCATAAAAAGCTTGGCCATTTAATAATCTTTCGAATGATATGCTATTCAATACTATTATTGATATTAACCAGTGAGAAATTAGCAATAAACTACAACAAAACGCGGGTTACAGATTTTTTTGCATAGTTTTTACTGTTAATAATAATTACTGTATACTCCATGTTGTATTATATTGAAAAATATGATAAAATGTTTACATTATTTTAACTTTTAAATATTTGTTAAAATAACTGAATAAATAAAATGTATAAACTCAAGTTTTTTAGCATGTTCAAAGATGTAGTTTGTTTGATTCTTAAATGCTGTATAATGAGATTTACCATTGACTATTGAATACAAAAGAAGACATCCTATCTATAAAGATCAGCTGTCGCCAATGTTTTACTAAAAAAGAATGTAGTTGTGTAAGCCAGTCACAGATTGAGCTAGTGTCTAAGACTCTATTTTGTACCTTATTTTTCGTACCTGACATAGTTGCTGGGTCACAACAGTTGCTATAGCTCATAATAAGTAATTTCCATCAGTTTGACTTGGTAAAAATTAAAAACCATCATGTAACGGCAGTAATTTAGATCAGCGCAATTTGTAGGTGGCTCACATCAACTAAGACAAATTTTATTAAAAACCTGGCTACAACTTTAACATGAGGATGGAATGTCTAGTTATTTTATTAATAGTCAAAGGTTTTACCTCGTGCTTGATTAAGTCAGCTTTTATTGATTTGTCATCTATAGCTAGATATCTCAGCTGTTTGAACATACATTGTTGAGTAATTTGCTGTTTTAACTTTGTATTTCCAAGTCAATTAAGAGTTTTTCAAAATTTATTAAACTATGGAGCCTTTTACCAATCAAGAGTATGCCAACATGATGAATATGGTAATTATTATTAACAGTAAAACTGTGCAAAAAAATCTGTAAACCGTGATTTATTGTAGTTTATTGCTAATTTCTCACTGGTTTATATCAATAGTATTGAATAGCATATCATTCGAAAGATTCTTAAATGGCCAAGTTTTTTATGCATTTCAACATTGCATAGATGCACGTTTATGTATCAAAGTGGGCCCATAAAAATTCTCGTAATTAATTAATTTAATAAAAATTTTACTTTATTTTGGATATAACGTGGACTATGTAATGGTATAATTGTTGAACTAAACCTTTGATTTATAGCAAATTTAATAGTATTACCAATGATTTCAACTATAACTCTCTAAAGTAATTAGTTAAGTTTTTATTACATAAATTGTGGAGCAAAGTCTAATAAAATAAGAAAAACACAAAGTCCCCTATTACAGCCAAACGGTTGAAAATCGGACATGGAACCTTTTTGGAACATTTTTTTAGGAACCTTTTTGTTCCTTTTAGAGAGTAGAACCTACTGGCGAAGTTAACACGGTCAGTAGAAACTCACCCTGTACATTTGATTTTACAAACGCTCTCACAAATTTTGGCTCCGTGTGCTTTGAGACGCAATCAGGACCTGCGATATACTTACTCTTTGATGTAGCTTGGCTCTGAGAGATATGAAAATACAGGAGCACATTCTACATACAAGTTTAGAAAACTTCAGCCAAGTAGCCATAAGGTAACTTGGTAAAAGTAGTTAAAAATAAGTACATTTTAAGGTAATGAAACAAGTATTAAAATATGTGTATACAATATTTTATTTATATGTCAAACAGACCATGTGTATTCTGTAGTAAATATATCGCAGGTAAATACTAAATTTACACTACTTATTTCAACATTGATATAAGCTTTTGCACTTCAAATAACATTGTATCTACTTGAGTTATAAAATTAAATATATAACTAAACAGATAGCCTAATAATTTACTACTGCGACGGGCTTGCTTGGTAAATCAACAAATGTGGTCCTTTGAGACCACTTGAGAAACCTAAATTATTGTACAACCATAGTAATAAAACATATTTAAGTTTCTACAATATAATGCGTTAACTTAAGATGAACAGACATAATTAATTAATAATTAAAGTAACTATGATATTATTGTTACATTAACTTCATCTAATTTATTATAATAAAATATAGGAAAACCAAACAATATACGCATTTTGAGTAAAATGTATTCCTTCAATACATTTTATGGCATTTATAAAAAGCATAGAAATGTTGTAGAGGATTATTAATTCAGAATTTACGTTTAAATTAATTGACTAAATATTTCTATTGTTGATGGGCAATTACAAAGATCCTTGGCCTGAAAACTCAGGATAAGGAAAGACTAAACATTAATACATCAAGGTGATAAATGGTGTAGTGAAGGGATGGGTGGATGTTAATGTACTTTGTGTGTTTCACCATGCAAGAGTGCGTGAGGTTTAATGCTTGGGGAAGAAATGTCGAAATATTGTTACTCAAGGTTGTGTCAGATGAGACAAATTATCCTTCATAATTTTTGTGGGAGTTTGTGGGCTCGACTCACCGTTTGTTTGTTATTCAGGGCTCGTCAGGTAGTATGTTGGGTTACTATTATGTAACTATAGGGTACTGTGTCGTAGTTTGGAATTATAGCCACACGCGAGAAAAAAAATATATTGTACAGCACTGTTGAATCAGATCCTTTTAAAATAGCTAAGACGATGAAGAGTCCAGGAAAAATGAAATTAAAAATACAGCGGAAGTTGGCTTGAACCCATACCAAATTTACTAAAGATTTGCGGTAGGGTCACGCAACTTATTTTGTTAGTACAGTACATAATTTTTGACTGTGAAAAGAACGAAACTCAATTGGTATACTGGTATCTTAGATAGTAAGAACAATTGTAAAATAAACTTAAACTGTGGTATTACTTGTTTCCAAAATATGTTTAAGTAAAAGATATCTTACATGCTTTTCTCCAAACAGTATATGAAATCTACATGATACAATAAATACCACCTTCTTTGTCGTGGGTGTACAGTATGATTTTAATTAATCTGATTCTGCCATCAACAGGAGTATTTGCTGGATTAGGTATCGTTGAATCCAGAATAACATAAAGCAAATATACAAAGTATTGAAACGGATATTTTTTACAAATGATTAACAATTCTTTTTACTTTTCAGGAATACCAAGGAATATTTGGCAGATACAGAAGAAACTGTAAGTACGCTAAGATTGTGAAAAGTAGCTTAGAAGAATTTTTAACTTTAAAATTCTATACAATGGGTAAAATAATTATGGTAAATACTGTAAAACTTATCGCTGTGTTGTAGTTTTGTAATTTTTAATGAGAATATGAGCTGAGATAGTCTGTTTTTCTAAAAGTACTGTGTTATTCTGTGAACCTTGCAAATTCCCCCATAAGATGATGGTAAACTAATATGCTTTTTATCAAGTTTAATCCTTAGCTGTAAATCCACATAATAAAAAAAATACAAAATGCGTTTGTTTTAAGGAACATCCTATAGGTACCGAAAGCCAAGAGAAATACATCTTATGCATACAGCCACAACAAACCAGACTGAAAGTAATATCTAGTGTTAGGAAAGTAACTTCATACCACGGATGTTTACATTATATGAGTTGGATCCTCCCCTTCATTAAGGTTGATTACTTTCCTAGTCATATCCTTAATACCTTCCAGCTTGTATAGATTACACTGGTAAACTATGATACTGAATCTTGTACAACCAACCTTGACTAAATCACTTTAACATTGACGGTGGCTTACTTTGTTTTACTTTCTTAATCTGAATATCAATTCAGAGAAAATGTGGAATGGAGTGAATAATCTTTATGGTTTGGTTGATGAGTAAGATCAGATTTTTCCTAAGCTGGGGCATATTTCATTAAAGCTCAATGAAGAAAGACAGCTATATTGATAAATGCTATTGACTTTTCATCGTATGTTAATGCTAAGCGTTCACTATATACATCTTTTAGATACCGAATACAATATCAATACATAAGTTAAGATATTTTGTAGCTCTATCTTAGAATTGCTTTTGATTTTTACAGTCTCGCGGGGAAATTGGTAACTAAAATATTTTTAAATTAAAAACTTAGTTATATTTGTGTTGAACAGAAAATCTTGGGGGGTATTCCCTTTCAGATCATTTTAATCCTTTTTGGATAAAAGGTTTTTATCCTTAACACTATAAAACTATTTTACTGTACTTTTATTTATTTTTTTTTTTTTTGGCCTGTCAGATTTATATAGTTGCATATTAAAATGTTTAAATTTTGTATAAATTTGTCAAACGTCTCTGGAAAAACGCAAAAAATACACCAATGTCGATCATAGGCTACGCTTAGTTTATAGTTGACAACACGTCAAAACATCAGTTCAAACAAATTTAATTACTATGGACAAGAAAATCCTAAAACAAAATATTATATGATATATTGAAACTCTCCCAGCCACTTAATTTGGTATACAAGCCGTAAGACATAACCTGCATAAACTTTTATGTGAAATGTGAACGATGGAACTTATCGTGTTTGATATATCTACACCATCCATCAAAACATCGACAGATTATTTAGCTGTTTCTGAAGTATGTTTGAAATACATTATACGATAACTTCTCCAATTTGGTCTGATAACTATATTCATATAAGCATATATTTAGAAATAACATGTCCAATTGTTTAACAAGACCAAAAACTGTAAAAAAAATAAAGAACTTCCAAACAAATAAATTAGCAACACATTCTACATTTTCAAACAGTCCGGGCTTATTTATGTACGTGTAGTCAGTGACTTCTGCAGCTCATTTTTGTGTTTGGTTGGGGGAGGGGGATTGCTGTTAGAAGGGGGGGAGGGATGTCGTCAATACCTCTGTTGTTGACACCCAGACAGGAATTGATCATGGCACCTTCTTTCTAAGGGAATGAATAGCCTTAGATTAAACATCTCCTCTATGGATTTATCATTCTTGTAGATCGGATTATGATTTTATAGTATTGTTACACCTGGTAACACTTCAGCTCATCGCTGAATTAATTACAGTATTATAGTCATTTTCTTCATGTCTCAGTTGAGTAATTTTAAACCATGAATCCCAATAGCAACCATACATTTGAAAACTTATCATTGTAAGCAAAGAGTAATAAGAATGATGTAAGGTTACTTAAAAAGTATAAATACGTATTTCGTCATAAACACAAGGATGAAGAGTTATATAAATTATCTAAAGTCATTACTTATGATTATAAAAGTTTTCACATTAAAACCCTTCGGAAGGTTACCAAAAAACTTTTACCAATCTTCTTTTCATACATTTATTTTGAAAATCAAGTAAGTTATTAGAGAAACTGAAGGAAAAATAGGTTCCACAGATGAAGTATTAGCAAAATTAAACAAAAAAGTTTTAACAATTAATTTTTTTTTTGGGGACTTTAAAGCTTAAAACTTTGATTAAATTACTCCATAAATATCTGCAGTTTTTAGTTTAATAGGAATATACGACTAGTGTATTTAATAACAATCTCCATGACCAATTAATGTTAAGTCATACAAAGAAAAATGTCTTTAATATCATATTTATTTCTTATATTCTGATTTAAGATCACGCTGATTCTTGTGTAGCAATAAAATGTTCAAACTATTAATTACAAATTCTCACAGAAGATATTGTTCTTACAACAGCTGTTATTGTTGCATTGCTGTATTGCAGAAGCTACTGAAACAATGTGCTTATTGGATATAATGGAATAATGCCTTTGAGATCTTCGTGCTACTGAGGCATTTGGTTACATTAATGTTCTAGGCATTTCAGCTGTCTGTTATGATTACACAATGAGATACAAGTTAGCCAAAACTAAGTTGTAATGGGTTTGGTGGAACGTTGTGATCAATATTCAAGCTTAGAAAGTAGAACTTCAGATCTGAATATTTTATCATTTAGAGGGACTAATAATATAAATGATGCTAAACAAGGTTTCACACTAAAGAGTTTTTAGATTTTTAGATTTGTAAACAGCATAATTATCACTAAAACTTCTTAAATTCTCAGTAATATACATATTTTATTATATTTACATATTTGTATTGGTTTTACTCAAAGTATCTCTTACCAATCAGTCTTTTTGTGTGACAACAATAACGATATTTTGGTTTTCTTTATCCATAAAAATCTTAAATTAATACAATATTTTATACACGGTTTCTTCTAAATATTACTGTATACTAGCTACTCAAAACTTCCACCTAGATGTACAGAATAATCTAAAACATAGTTTTGAAGTGTTAATCTCATAACCCCAACAACGTAACATGTTGTCAAAGTTTCATACTAAAGTTGTGGTGGGTTATACGATTACAAGAGACTGTCGGAGTTCATAGAAAGTTTGCGAAAAAAATATTTCCAATACAGTAAACTTTCAAGCTTAAACAATATTGGACGAACAATCGAAACTTTTAATTTATGAATACATAGAGCTAAGTCTAAAGACCTTAGGATCGAATTTATAAGTTTTTTTGTATATTCAATTTGTGAGACGTATAACAAATTTTACAAGTAATAAGAATTTTTTTTTAAATTTAATATATTTTTTTTTTAATAATTGAATGTAATCACTTTACTATTTTTTTTTAATAATTGAATGTAATCACTTTACTATAGACATAATGTCCCCCCTGCGGTTTCGGGGTTAGAATAGAACCGCAGCCTTCCCGGGCTTGTCGTAAGAGGCGACTAAAAGGGTGACCGACGCTCTCACTGGGAGTCCTTGGGAGTGCCCCTGTTGTGTTTGCAGGGGTTGATGTGTGCTCTGCACTGCCGATGGGTATTCTCAGTGAGTCGTGAGAAACCAGCCACTTCGGTCCTTGGTCAGGGAGTGCGGCATGGATGTAGAGGTCGGGCTCTACATTGTGACGGGTGACCCCCGGCACGTCAGGTATCCGGTGCTGGGAAAACGGAGGTTGGGCCTCGGGGAACTGGGGTAGGGGCGCTGTCCCCGAGGGTATACCCGTTCCTGACTATTCCGGGCCGCCCCTTGCCGCACGATGCGCTGGTAAACACAAGATGGCTTTTATAACAAATACCCTGAACACATCTTTAATAAGTAGCTCGAATGAGCAAGAAAAGAAGTCGGAAGTAGAGCGAGACCCTTTTGGGCGAAGCTCCAAGGTCCAGAGATCGCCAACATTGAAAGGCGTGAAGACGTCCCCTCCACCTGCATCTTTCAGGTGTACAAAAGACTTGACTTTGGGATCTCCCTTGACAAGTGGAGAAGGAAACGGTGGACCACCCTCTAAGTCTGGTGAAGGGATGCCGGAGGAATCCCTAACAACAGCGTTAGATTTGGAAGTGTCGGGAATGGTACTTCTGCGTCAGCAATATCTCGACGCAGAAAATGACATTGAAAACCGGCTTCGAAACATGGAGCAGACCATAAAGGCAATGCTTGAAACCTTTAAGACGCAGAGAGGAGTTAACCAAGTGGTTAAAAATGGCATGGCTAAGCTCGAGGACGACCTTGGTTTTGTCTTCGCCTGCCGGCTGGTGAGCAAGGCGGCCATGGAAAGGATCGCCGAGAAGGTGGTGTCCCTACCTGACGACAATGCGCGACCTTCCAAGAAACGCAGGAGGCCTACATCAGAAAGCCCTCCAAAAAGAGAAGAGGTTGTTCAGACAGCAAAGCCTAAAGTTAAGGTCAAGGCGACCCAGACTTCTAGGTCCTTCTCTGACGTAGTTGCCGCTCCAGCGAAACCTCAACAGCCACAGCAACCTGCGACACCCATTGAGGGTAGCTCCCGAAAGGGGTCAGTCGTAGAAACACCATCTGGGACTGTGTGGGAAAAGCGCCTTACGAAAAAGGAGAAGAGGAAATTGAGGCACGCGGAAGTCGGCTCCAAGACATATGTGGCAGTGAGGGCGCAATCGACCGGCGTGGCCCAAGCTGTGCCTGGCTCGGCACTCGCTAAAAAGTCGCGGCCCAAAAAGCCCAGGACTGAGGCAATTTTGGTCAAGCCTTTGGAGGGAAGATCATTCGCCGAAGTCTTGGGTGTTATCAAGGCCAAGGCTAAGCCAGAGCAAACCGACACGGTTGTACGGTCGATTAGACAAACCCGGGACGGGGACGTCCTCCTCGAACTGGGTAAGTCTAAAGATAAAGCCGCCTTTGCTGCCGAACTAAAGGCAGCTGTGGAAGGT